TTCGATCCTCAGCACCACATACCAACAAAGATGTTGTGTCCGCCGAGAACTAAAAAATAAATATTAAAAAAAAATTCTCTCTCTCTCTCTCTCTCTCTCTCTCCTCTCTCACTCTCTCTTTAAAAAAAAAAAAAGTTTATGGAGTGAGCTTATGAATTATCATCTATATCCTTTGCCCATTTCTCTTTGAAATGAATTTGATTAAACTGGAAAAGAGCACTTATATATTAAAGGTATCAGTGCTTTGCCACATTGTCTCAGTTTATACCATTCAGTTTTCATTATAGTATTTCTGACTCAAAATAACTTTTGTTCATAGATAACCAAATCTACCAATATTTTCCTTTCAAAATCTTCCATTACTTGCCTAGCAGATACTTCATTTTTTCCCCTAGTTTGTATGTGTTCAATATTTTTAAAACATAGCTTTTAAATGTATCTGGAATTAATTTTGATATATATTATGAGGTATTTAAATTTAATTTTTCAAAAGAACAAGAAAACTTCTCAACATTCTTCTCTCCTACATAAATTTGTGGCAACTTTTATCCTATAATGGCTTCTTATGAAAGATCTGATCTTTATTTTTATACCTATACTTTCATGTTTTAATAGCCATGACATCATATTAAGTTTAAACATGTGATTATTATTCTAATGTTTGTATTAAACCAACCTTTCAATAAATTTGCAAGAAAAACTCCTTGTCACATTGATTGGAATTGCTTTGCTTTCTTTCCTAAATTAATTTAAGGAGAATCAGCATATACATTATATCTCATCTTTTTACTCAAGAAATTGTTACATCTTTCGATTTAGTCAAGTTTTATTGTCTACTTATAAAGTTATGTGATTTTCTTTATATAAAGCCAGAACATTTCTCAACAAAATTATTCCTAGGTTTTATTTTTGTTTTTGCTTGATTTGGTGTGGTTATTGCTGTTAAGAATTAAATCCCATTGTTTCTCTTTTTATTTTCTTCTTTTCTTAATAAGTAGTGTTTATGTATAAATTATCATTTTTATAGGTTTATCTTATATGCAGGAACTTCTCTGAACTTTCTGATCAACTCTAGTAGCTTTATATTGATTCATTTGATTGTTCTGGGTATATAAGTATATATTTTGCAAATAATAACTTTCATCTCCTTTTTTCTTTCTTTCTTTTTTAAAAAAACTGGGGATTGAACCCAGAGGCTCTTAAGCCACATCCCTAACCCATTTTTATTTTTTATATTGAGATAGAGTCTCACTAAGTTGCTGAGGCTGGCTTTGAACTTGCAACCCTCCTTTCCCAGCTTTCCCAGCAGTTGGGAATACAGGCCAGAATCACTGAGGTTTATCATGTCTTTTTTTTTTTTTTTTTTATAAATATTTATGCCCCAAACAATGGAACATTTATTTATTTATTTATTTATTTATTTATTTATTTATTTTTGAGAGAGAGAGAGAGAGAGAGAGAGGATTTTAATATTTATTTATTTATTTAGTTTTCGGCGGACACAACATCTTTGTTTGTATGTGGTGCTGAGGATCGAACCCGGGCCGCACACATGCCAGGCTAGCGCGCTACCGCTTGAGCCACATCCCCAGCCCTATCATGTCTTTTTTAATGACTTTTTTTGGGGGGAGCGGTGGGGAGGGACAGTAGTGTCTCATTGAATTCAACTTACCTTCCATAAATATTTTTTGAAATGACACTCACCACATAGTTATTTTTTCCCCTGATTTTACTGGAAAAGAAAATTTAGAATTTTCTAAAATTTTATCATTATGTATGCTATTTGCTGTGAGTTCCATATTGACATTCTTTATCATGTTAAGGAAGCATCCTTATATTTCTGCTCTTTAAAGAGTTCTTTAAAAAAAAAAAAAAAGGAATTGGTGTCAAACTTAGCAAATGCTGAAGTTGTAGCTCAGTGGAAGAACAATCGCCCAGCATTTATAGGGCCCTTGGATTCAGTCCTAGCACTACACAAAGGAAAAAGGAAAAAAGATTCCAAGTAAGTTAAAAATAAAATCATGTATTACAGGTTCAAGGACCATATATTTTTATAAAAAGAATAAAGTTTTAAAATAAGGAATAAACAAAGCTATATCAGGTAAATGTAAAAAAACAAGGACCTAGAAGAATAGTATAAAGGAAAATTCAAGGTAACAATGATTCATCAATGTTGTAATTATACTTACATGGTTATTATTGTCTATGATAAGTATTCTTATCATTTATTTCATCTTTTCTCTTATTTATGTAGGGGATATGTTTGTTGATGTTATCGATTCTATTATCTATTTCTTATTTTTTCTTTTGCAGTTATACTATGTTTTATTCCTTGCCCCCATCCCCAGCATTGATTTGGAAAACAGATATCTTTTAAAATGTTAAAGATTTTAATTTTGCTTTTTAAAAACCAGGATGTGGGTGAATGTACAGATAGTGCACATGTGGATCCTCAGCTAAGAATTGCTTCCTTCTCACAGAACTGCAACATTCATTCAGGTGAGAGATAACACGTGTTGCCACCCAATAATGAAATAGTGGCCCTGGACAACTGGCTGAGTCTTTTCATATAGATCATACTTTTGTTCTCACGACATCATGCAGAAGTCTCTGTAGCCTATGGGCCTTTCTGAGAAGTTCTCATCCCTCCCCTGCCCAGGGTGCTGCACCTGCTGCAGCTGAGACTGTCCTGCAAGTGGCCAGAAGGGAATGTGGTGAGAGAAGGGAAAGTTTCTGCTTTCTGGGCAAAACTGGTCTGCAGGTACCATGCCAGCTGGTCTTGCTTATGTACAAGTCGTTCTAAAATCTGGTGTTGTAAATTCAAGATTACTGTCTTGTTTTAACCACTCAGGATAAAATCCTTCTAACTAAAGTTGTGATTCTTTTTGCATGTTATAATGGAGAAAAGAGAGATAGTGTGAGTTTATGGTCAACTCAGTATTTCTTTCCAAAAGAATTGGCTTTCCTTATATTTGGGAAATAGTTGTATACATTCCATGATGAAAAGCATTCCCAAAGTTTCCTGTTCATCAGAGCCACAAGACTTAAAATTTTCCCATTGGAGAGTCATCCCTATAAATTAGACATTGGTTTTTATAGTTTCCATCAAATATGCAAAAAATCAGGAAAAGTGTAGCATACTGATTGAGTCACTGACACCCTCCAGTTGCATATGTTTACCTAAACACACTGGGCTCTGAGGAGGGGAACAAAGAGGTAGGAAAATGAAGGTCATACTGAAAATATTCCCTGACTCATCCCTGAACCCGAGCTACCATGTGGCCCTCTATAAATTAGGATGCTAGATCTCATGTGGGAGAAGTACTAGGCTAGGCTGCTTCTCCAGTGCACAGGCTGACTTAAAGTCTCATTCTTTCAGGAGAGGATCTTGTAAAACCACATCCCAAGATTTGTCCCGGCTGCCCCTTTGAAATACCTCTCGACAGCCCTGAGCTGGCAGAAGCACTTACTCATTCCATTACAAAGCTTAATGCAGAAAATAACGAAACTTTCTACTTCAAGATTGACACTGTGAAAAGAGCTTCAGCACAGGTCTGTAAATTATGCTTAAAAATGGGGATGTGATAGTCTGTGAAAATTGCTTGCTAATTTTACCACTGATCTTGGCTCTGGATTGGGAAACAGTTTATTTAATAATGGAATATGGTAAGATTTGAATTGTGAACCCAACTTCTCTGCATGTTTCATGTGTGATTTTAGGTCTCTTAAAACATTCTGTTTATTGGGCTGGGGTTGTGGCTCAGCGGTAGAGCGCTTGCCTAGCATGAGTGAGGCCCTGGGTTCGATCCTCAGCACCACATATAAATAAAAAAAATAAACGTATTGTGTCCAACTAAAAAATAAAAAAAAAATTCTGTTTACTATGTATAAATGACTAGGGTAAAGATAGGATAATGTATGTCAAATCACTTTTCAAATTCTAACATGCTGTCCAAATACCAGCAACTATATTATAATTAATAAAACTCAGGATTTTTATTCTATGGCTTTCCATAGAATTATAGAACACAGTGCCTTGAGCTCAGCCATATCAGTCAGTCGGTCTTTGACTGGACCATCCACGCTGTCTTACCTCCATGTTGTTTCTCTCACTGCCCCCTCTGCCTGAGGTGCCCTTCCCACTTACAGGTGCACAGTTGGGTTCATCTCCAATTTCATGCCTTGTCAGTAGAGGATAAGGGTTGTCCTCATCTGGAGTCAAAAAACAGCTGTATCACAGCATCTGCCACTGACATCCTGGATGACCCCAGGGTAATTCAAATAATCTTTGTGGCCCCATTTGTGAAATGAGTAGCTGGATTAGAAAAGCCCAAATCCCTACCAGCTCCAACAGTCTATGCCTGTCATGTATTGCAGACTCAAAGCTGGCTTGCCTAACTACAAGCTAAAGAAAAGTAATCAAACTAGAATCAAGTTGTTGCAGCGAGACAACATGATCTTCATAGTCCGGTGAGGAAATTCTCACTTAAAAGCTCATACTTTGGGCTCAAATTGAATTTCTAGAAATATAAAATAGAAGTCTTTATATACAATGGTATTTACTGTGCCAATGTCTCGGCTTGGCACTGAATCACAAGCCACCACACAGCTTTGTAGGTTCAAACAGCAATTTTTTATTCCCGAACTTACACCGGCCGTCTACAAACACGTTCAGGGGAAATCCAAAATCTTCCAGCACAATTTACCTACTCCACGAGGCTTTTTTCCAAATCCCATTTTAATCTCACGAGAACTCAACAGGAACAAGCAGCAGGAACACCCTAATCCCAGCAGCAATAATCTTCAACCTCCAACTTCCCTAAAACCCCTATTCTCTTAAACCGCGAACGCCTTAAACTTGTCTTAAACTGGGAACGCCCTAAACCCAAATTATCTTAAACCCGGATACTTCCTAAAACCTGCAGGATACACCCTAATCCTGGATCCACCCTGGTCATTGAGCAGGGTCACCTTTCTCAAACACACATGCAAGGTCACAGCAAATTTCCAAGGCAAGTCCATTTAACATGGGGTACGCTGGCAAGGAAATATCGATGCGTCATTCCTACTTGGCAATGGCCCTCAGCATACTGAAGTTTTAATTCTAAGATCAAATAATGGTAAGCTGCCCAAATGACCAATAATACAAAAATGATTACACAATGCCTGGTATATTCCTACAATGGAGCATTAAACAGCAATGGGGGCAGGGGCAGAAGTGGAGGTTTCTTGGTAGCAGGGATTGAACCCAGGGGAGCTTAACCATGTGGCTGAGAGTGAGCCAGGGTATCACTAAATTCTTAGGGCCTCACTGAATTGCTGAGGGTGGCTCTTAACTCGAAATCCTCCTGCTTCAGCCTCCCAAACTGGAGTTACAGGCATGAGCCACATCATTCAGCATTGAGCAGCAATTTAAAAGTGTCTTTGTGATGAGTGCTTGATGTAGACAATGTCTGATTATAATAGTCAATGATGAAAAAAAGGCCATAAAGTTGAATATACTTTGTTCTCAATTATGTTATAAAAAAACACAGAAAGCAATATTGAGGAGACACGCTTCAGACTGTTTGTTAGTGGTGGGGGGGCTGGGGTTGTGGCTCAGTGGGAGAGTACTTGCCCCGCACGTGTGAAGCACTGAGTTCAATCCTCAGCACCACATAAAATAAATAAATAAAATAAAATAAAGGTATTGTGTCCATCCACAACTAAAAAAAACATATATTAAAATAAAAACAGTGGTGGGGTTTTGACGAGGGCATAATGGGCTATTTATTTTAACTTTCTAAATTCTTATGTTAGTTTTTTAACCTAAATAAGTAACCAGACTTTATTAACATAATCATAACTGACACTTAGATCTATGACTCAGGCGCTCTACCACCCACTCTGCGACCTCGCCGCCATGTAACACCCCTGTGCTTACTTGAAGAGATGCTCATTCATGCCACAAACTCTTGAACTTTACATGTTCACTCTTGTGTGAAATCCTCTTCTGTGGTTGTTTTTTTTTTTTTTTTTGTACCATGGATTGAACCCAGGGGTGTTTAACCACTGAGCCACTGAGCCACATCCCTTGACCCTTTATATTTTTATTTTGAGACAGGATCTCACTAAGTTGCATAGGGCCTCACTAAGTTGCTGAGGATGGCTTTGAGCTCAAGATCCTCCTGCCTCAACCTCCTGAGCCGATGGGAAAATTGGTGTGCACCACCATACCCCTTTAAATCCCCTTATTCTTACTGTCACAGGAGTCATCTGCCATATATTATATGTTAGAGGTTTGCTGTCAAGAGATAATGACTCATTCTCAAACATGAATATCTCATGCCTGAGGAGTTACAGTTCTCTCTGTAGATTAACTTAACATTCTAGTATGAGTGTCTGTTTACACTAAGGATACCAGGGGCACCCCAAGCAGTAATGCTGTGAACCAAAAGGAGTCACATGCCCCTTCAGTTAGTTGTCAAACCAATCTGAATACACAGGAAAAATTTCAAACCCCCTTGTAACAGATGAATCTGCACTGATTTTTTTTACATTTCAAAAGAGCAATTTGACTGCTTACACATGGTCACTTAAGGCAGCCTTAGTGCTGGAAATAAATTAACATTTGAGGATTTGCTGAAAACTGTTCACCAAGTGACCAATTTGACAAGTTGCTGGGGATATGTTTTGTAGTTTTAGTCTTGTCTTGGCTTTGCATGTTTAGTCCTGTTTGGATGCACATCCATTCCAAATCGGATTGATATTTCAGACACCAAACACTTTGTGAATCTTCTATTTTCACATTACTGAGTGAAATTTCTGACCTGTATGTGTCTACTTTGCCCTGCCCCCTTTCCTGTTGGCCTGAGGCTGTGGGTGCTCTGCCTGCCTCTACTCAGATGAATAAATGTCAGAAATCTGTGTCTGATTCTTTGAGGGTTTTTCCTAGGAATATCAAGGAATATGTATATACTGAGATTGTTTGTGCAAGTTGTCAAATCACCCAACTACTTGCAAGTATGACAATTTACATTCACACAACCTGGGTATAAAACAATGGTTAGGGATCTTGATTTTAATTTTATTCTTATCAGCAGTGATTGGGGCTGCCTGTTTCCCACACCTAACACCTAACAGGTATCATCAATGTTTTTATCCTTGTGAACACAAGAGATTAAAATTGATGTTGCACTGCTTTTCAAATGTGCATGTTACTGGTCATCAATAAAATTAAATTTTTTTCAGGCTTAATAAGCATTTTAACTTTTTATCTGAAATACCTGCTCAAGTCCTTTGTTCATTTTTTTAGAATTGGGATTTACATGTATACAAATATCATCTAACATAATTTTCCTACTTTGCTTTTTTACATTGCTTGTTGGGATTTATGAGACTCTGTTTTTACTTTTGTCTCATCAAATTTAAACAGTTCCCCCTTACTTTAGGAATATTTATTCTATTTTTCACCGACAAAGACCTTTCTCATTCTGAGTTCTAATGAGTATATATTTATAATATTCTAGTTATTTTCTTTAAGTTTTTAAATTTACTTGGGATTCATGTTGCTATTTGGTTTTCTCTACTTAAAAAAATAGTTGGGCAGGATGAGTTTAATCTGGAAAGACTTTTGATAAAAATGATACCTGATAATGATGGTGAAGTGATTCTGATTTTGACGCCCTAGAATGGAAGACAGTACTAACTTAACCATACTTGCCCAACAAAACTATGGCAGAAAATATAGAGGAGTTTAGTTCTTCCTATGACTGTGCTCTGTAAACCTCCATCTATCATCACACATTTCTCCATGCTTTTAAACAGCATAAAGAGATAAAGAAGGCTTGTAGTGTGCTTTTACAAATGTAAGATTACACTACCCCTCTGTAACTTCCTTTTTTTTTTTTTTAAATAATGACTCTCCCTCAAGGTCAACAGATACAGATGCCTTGCATTCTTTTTAAATGCTGCATAATATTACACACACATACTACATTTAAAACACTTAAAATCTATAATTAAATACTAAATAATTTGCTCAAGAAATTTGGCTATAAAATGCTTAATGGAAAAGAGTATTATGGGGGCTGGGGTTGTGGCTCAGTGGTAGAGTACAAGACTTGCACATGTGAGGCACTGGGTTTGATCCTCAGCACCACATTAAAAATAAATAAATAAAGGTATTGTGTCCATCTACAACTAAAAAAAAAAATATATTCTAAAAAAATAGAAAAGAGCATTATGCAGTGCTTAAAACTGTTGTTAGAGATGGAAATCCTAATTTTAAACAACTGTGAGAAGCCAGCATGATGGCATACACCTGTAATCTCAGCTACTAGGGAGACTGAGGTAGGAGGATTGCAAATTCAAGGTCAGTGTCACAACTTAGCCAGACCTTGTCTCAAAATTAAAAATTAAAATTAAAATAGAAAATTAAAAGAGCTTGTGATTGAGGCCCTGATACTGGTTGAAATCCCAGTACCTGAAGAAAAAAGAGAGAGAGAGAGAGAGATTTCAAATATTTTTTAACTAATTTCATAATTTAATCCACATAATTTCTATAGTGCTAACTCAGCATTCCATTGATTCAAGATTTGGCAGGGGAAAAAAACTTGAAGGACAACAAGTAATGTTTGATTAAAATAGAATTATAACCTGCTTACCTCCATTTAGAAAAGCCAAATATTTTAAAAAATATTTTTAGTTGTAGATGGACACAATATTTTATTTTTATATGGTGCTGAGAATCAATCCCAGTGTCTCACACATGCCAGGCAAGCACTCTACCACTGAGCCACAACCCCAGCCCACCAAATAGTTTTAATATGCATACAAACTAAAACTTTTATTATGGAATGTTTGTACTTTTTTCGGTACAACTCTTCAAGTTGGTCAATATGTAATTAAAATTTCAAGGTCCTCTCTTAAAATTCCTTAGGGTAAAAAATATAATTTATTTTACAAATATTTATTAAGCATGAATTTGGGGCTAATTACTTTTCCAGGTGGTGGCTGGGAAGAAATTTTTTATTGAGTTCACAGCCAGGGAAACCACATGCTCCAAGGAAGATAATACAGAGTTGACTGAAAGTTGTGAGATCAAAAATTCTGGTGTGAGTAGTAATGCTTTTTCACTACTTGATGTTTTAAGTAGCCCTTATTTAAATGTCTTATGAATAACACTTGTCTCTCTTTGGGCTTCTGTTTTCATTAACAGCAAAGTCTAAGCTGCAATGCTGAAGTTTATGTGAGACCTTGGGAGCAAAAAGTTTACCCTACCATCAACTGTCAAGTGCTAGAAATGGTATGATTCTGATTGCCATCCGTCATCTGCATTAGCTCAGGGTCAATTCTGCTCATTCTGAAAAGCCATATTGGGGGTGGAAAATGAACCATTACTGAAATGAACTGGGGGACTATCTTTTTTATTTTTTTTTATTTTTTTTTAAGGGTTTTTTTTTTATTTTTTATTCTAATTTTTATATATAACAGCAGAATGCATTACAGTTCATATTACACATATAAACACAATGTTTTGTATCTCTTATTGTATATAAAGCATATTCACATTCTTACCATGCAAGTATTTACCCACTCTGGCAGAAGGTTGAAGTTCAATTATTTAACGAGGTTAGTGAGGGAATCTGTAAACTAGGAAACACCAAGCATGGTTGAGGTTGACAACCAAGCTTCCAGGGGATGCTAACAGTGTGTGTGAAGTGATCAAGGGGATTGCTGCTCTTTTTTTCTAGTCATAAGAAGTGTGAGATTTCTCCGAACTATTTAAAAAAGATAGTCCAAGCATGGTTGAGGTTGACAACCAAGATACTTGGACTATCTTTTTTAAATAGTTCGGAGAAATCTCACACTTCTTATGACTAGAAAAAAAGAGCAGCAATCCCCTTGATCACTTCACACACACTGTTAGCATCCCCTGGAAGCTTTTGTGAGCTGGTAATGAGATGCAGTCCCTGCTGTGAGGCGCTAATACTGGATACTCACCTGGGGCAGATGCAGCACTGGGCTATGTTCTGTTTTCATCCAAGGAGCTTTGAGATGCAGACTCTCACACTCATTCCATATTGACTGAATCAGAACCTGCAATTGAACAAGACACTCCCCACCAAGGGATTTATACACATGATTCAAATCTGAAAAACATTAGTTTGCATCATCTTCTTAAGTCTTAAAAGAACTCTGGGAAGTAAGTAGCGCTTTCCCCACTGTTAAGGATGAGACATTAAAAATTAGAAGACTGAGGTCCCAAAGTGACATTTTAAGTGCTTCCTCTGTTCCTGAATTTTCACATACATTATCCATTAGTATTCCTATAACCTTCTGAGGCAGTTACTTTTATTATTCTGTTTTTGCAGAAAAGTGAAGCTAGTGGCACTTGGAATCAAGTGTGGGTCAAATCAGAGCCCAAGCCCATATTATGCAGCTGATTACTAGAGGGTCTGGCTTGATTCCAAAGCTCATCTCTTTTACTACCAAACACTGCCTTCAACCATCACTTTCTCACAGGTAGTAAAAGTCTAGGTAGAAATAGCCTGTAAATCCATATCTTTCATCACAAGTTGCCTCTTTCCCCTGTTCTGAGGCAGGTTCCTGTCATACGTGTGTATATGTATAGTCTAACACAACAGACACTGCATTACAAGCTTGTGAACATATCCTAATGTGTCTCAGTCCAATAAAGTGGCTGTGGGTATATGCTCCCTAATATACCTAGTTTATAAAGACACTTAGGGCCTTTTAAGATAAAAGCAGTAATGGTGGTAATAGAAATAGCATCAATTAATAAATACTGTGTAATGGATGTACATAATTATAAGCTTAGGAGATAACCTAGAGGTCATGTAGTTCAACCACCTGGTGTTTTTCCAGATGAATAAAAACCTCTCCATATTTTAGAGTATAATTAAGAACAATAATCAAATGTCCACAAATTTCAAGATCAATCAAAAGAGGAAAAGTTGTTATTCATCCTTTCTGGAAGATTAATATAGTATTTAAAATCTGACGAAGACCTGCTCCATTGTGAATCAAGATAGTAATGCCAGATCTCAGTCTCTTTTTCACTGATAGTGTGGCTTTTGCAGTAATGTGTTCATTTTAATATTTCCTATTTAGACGTCATTGAGGAAAAGGCCTCCAGGTTTTTCACCTTTCCGAGCAGTACCAGGAGAAAAAAAAGAAGGAGGAACAATTGTAAGTCTACCCTCCACTTCCATGGCACCTGTGCAAGATGAAGAACAGGATCCAGAAAAAGAGGAAGGACCCACTCGTGGGCATGGGTGGGACAGTGAAAAGAAAATTAAACCTGGGCTTGGCCATGGTCATAAACATGAGCATAAGCAAGGCCATGGGCACAAAAGGGGACATGGGGTTGGCCATGATCCTCCAAAGCAAAATGCCCTTGGCCATGGTCAACAACAACAGCATGGCCTTGATCATGGATATCAACCCAAACTTGACTTTGATCTTGAACATGGCCTTGACCATGGACATCAAATAGGACATGACCTAGCCCATGGACATAAACATAAGCTTAAGCATGGTCATGAAAAACATAAAAACAAAGACAAAAACAATGGAAAGCTCAATGACCAGAGACCAGAGCATTTGGCAAGCTTTCCTGAAGTTAGTACTATATCTTCTACACAGACAGAGGAGAAGACGGAAGGGCCAACGCCCATCCATTCCCTAACCCAGCCAGGTATAGCAGTTACCTTTTCTGACTTTCAGGACTCAGATCTCCTTGAAGCAGTGACACCTCCCATGCCACCAACTCCCACAGAGAATTATGATGATTTGATCCCTGATATCCAAATAAAACCAAATAGCTTTTTATTTGAGCTAATACCTGATTTTCCGGAAACAAACTCCCCCAAATGTCCTGGACGTCCCTGGAAGCCAATTAATGGAAATAATCCAGTCATGGAAATGAAAGAATTTCATGATTTTGATCTCTCTGATGCTCTTTGATAATTTATGCAGCCATGGGTATTTTTTTAACACCTCATCATCCCCTCCCTGCATTGTCCAAATATAAATATCCTAATATGAGGCACCAAAACCCATAAAGCTTCAAAACAGCCTAGAGAGAAGTAGTGAGCCTCTCAATGGAGACACCATMAGTCTCGAAGAATTGTATAAAACTGTGTACCAGAGTTTTAAATCCTTTTTGAGTCTTCCTCACAAGTTTTCTAAATTGGCAAAGAAAATGGACCAATGTGCCTTATTACCTACTGCCATTTACTTTTCATGAATGCATACCTCAAATGTACTTTATCAATTTTCATTCTAAAACTTGCCATTCTGAGCAAACTGATACCTGGTCCCTGAGTGTGTATGAAAATAAGGAAAGTCTAAGAGACTGAATGCTGAACTTTTTAATGGTGTAAAATTAAGTTAAACTAGACGCAGTAGATTACAAATCTGTAATCCCAGTGGCTTGGGAGGCTGAGACAGGAGGATCACAAGTTCAAAGCCAGCCTCAGCAACTTAGCAAGGCCCTAAGCAACTCAGCATGACCCTGTCTCAAGATAAAGTATAAAAAAGGGTTGGGGATGTGACTCAGTGGTAAAGCTCCCCCGGGGTTCAATCCCTGATACCAAAAAAATAAAAATTAAAAATAAAATTAAGGTAAAACTTCTAGATATCAAACAGGGATGGCAAGAAAGAGAGACGGGTTAGCCAAAGGGAAGGAAATGGAAAATTAAATAAATTTGACTTTCTCTTTCCACATTGTGTTAGTTCTATCAGATACAGACTCCCACTTGATCAAGTTATTCTGATAATTCCTTTTCTGGGTGCAGGTGTTTCTCATAAGTCAATCATTTCTGTTTATACATTAACTATTACTTGCAACAGGGTTTAAGTAGTTTTGTTCATTTTTTTTTCTAAGGTTAAATTGAGTAATCTTTAGTTTTCAAAAGTTCTGAGTTTGATAAAGATGTAAAGCAGAGGAAATAATATCAAAGCAGTTTACTAAGCAAACTTTATTTTTATAATTGACAAGGGAATATCATAGAATGTGATGCAAACTTTGTTCAGAAATTTTGAGGAAATTCCTCTTTAGCCTCACTTTAAAATAATATAATCTTTGTGCTATGATATTGAAAACTATTGACATTTGAAAAAGAGAATATGATGGCCTTTCATTGTATATGATAGCTTTTCATTGCAGGAAGCCTTACATTTTATAACCTGTGCTGTACTTTTGCCTATAGAAACAAGATAAGGCTTTAAACAGCTACACTTGCCTATAAATACATGTGCTGCTGCTATTAAAATTTATTGAGCTCTGGATTTTTATTTCATTTTAAATATTGTTTGTGCTTTGAAATAAAGAACCAATGATACCAGGAAAAAGTTTCACCTTGTCAACTGACTGCTTCCAGTTTTTTAAAAATTGAACCAAATATCAGATTAACCAAGTTTTACTATACTTACAGAGGCACCTAATGTCCTGCGAGTACATGGGCCGACCCCCAAAGACAGGGACAGAGCCAACACCTGAGAGTGAGGTCTCTTGACCAGTGGGCAGAATCTTCACGCCTGGCACAATAGCCCCAACCACCTCTGTCAGCAGCTTTGAGTGGAAGGACAAGAAGAAACATGAGATAAATTTTAAATATAGAAGAATGCTATGTTATCATTCTGTTCCTGGGAGAAATAAAATTCAGAGTTGATTAATTGACAGTGGTTTCCTTTCAGCTATACCCATTCTATAGCAAATTCCAGCTGGTCACCAGTGCTGCAGCTCTGCCATGGGAGCTCGCAATCCAATTCTGGAACATTCTCTCTAACCAAGCCGAGAATCCTTAAATGGAACCTCCTTACCACCAAGACTATCATGGGACTTAAGTGAAGGTTTAGTGGGTTGTGTTTCTACCAATAATCTCAGCTCCCCGCCCCCTCTCTCTCTCTCTCTCTCTCTCTCTGCCTTGCCTTCTTCACCCTTCTCCTGACTTCCAGGTGAAAGCTAGAAATAGAATTGTTTACTATTTTTATAATTTGGACAGTTAGCAAAAGATAAAAAAAAACTTTTGTATTCATATGAAGTCTATCATGTTCTCATTATAACCTCCAAAAAGTTTAAATAAAATTTGAAATTATATTTCTGAGACAGATAAAGGAGAAAATAGAAAAAAAAACAACAAAGTAAAACATGATAGAGATTTTATATTTTCTTTAATGAAAACATTTACTGAATACCTAGTATAGTCTTCCACTGTGGTTGACCATATACTTTTGTTGTGTAACTTAATCTTTGCAACTCACCCTGAGGCCCGATGGTCATCTATCTTTCATAATGAGGAAATTGCAGTTGTTTGCTGTATCCTGCCCAGGGTCACACAGTTAATAAATGTCTGAGATGGCACTCAAACTCAGACCTTTTGGACTCCACTATGCCATGTCATCCTGGGGCTTTATTATCAATGTTATCATTATAAAAAAAAACACACCAAGATAATTTTCTGATTCTGAACTGCTCACTATCTCAACCCCTGCCCCCCMAAAAAAATTGTTATTAAATATCTCATAGCTGATGCTATAATGAGTACTGTTCAGGATAAACTCAGTAACACCACTTCCTAAGAAGAAGAAAATTAAAATTGAAAAGATATAGTCCTTTCCTTCAAAGAGCTTGCAACTCTCTTGGGAAGACAAGACAAAAACTTATGATACAGAGACTTAATCCAAGCCATGATCATTTGTGGAGCAGTAAGCAGACCTGAGCAATGTGAGAAGAAGATGTCAAAGAGGTGGAGAGACAAACTTGAAAAGGCAGAATGAAGCCCATTGGGTTTACAGTAAAGTAGGCAGTAAAGTCCCTGTCATAGTTCCTGACATGCTCAAAAAGTATTTAAGACCAACTATCTAGAAGGTTCTGGGTAAAAATGAGTCAGCATAAGATGAGACTGTTCCAACTATCTCCAGACTATCACATTTTAACAGATGGACAACTTCTCAGGGATGATATATAAAGCCTCTAGTTGTCTATGCAACATGAAGTACTGTACTTCTCCTTGATGCCTTTGTTAGATAATCTAAACATGAGTTCCCTATGACCTAGCACCTAAGTCTCTTGCTTTTTAAAAAATTTATTTTACAGCGCTGGGGATGGAACCTACATATGCATATATGCGTGCTAGGCAAGCATTCAACTGCTGAGCTACATCCCCAACCCCAACTTCTTCCACTTTTAAAATGTCTGCACTGTCCCCAACTCAGGAGCCAAAGGCACACCCCAGATGTATGACCCTGGCTCTGGAACCACATAGCTTCATCTATTTATGCTTCTCTTCAGTGCAGGAGTTCCCCTGGTTCAGTCCAACTCATGTTCTCTACAAAGCCTGGGCCTAACTTCTCAAGCAGAAGGCCTTTGCCAGCTTTTTACCTCACCCTTTTTTTCCTGCTAAGCCTGAAATACTTAACTCATAGGAGGACACACACTTGGGGGCTCCATGGCAGCCTTACCCATACATCCCATCCTCTGTATCTTTACCTTGTGGGAGAGGCCCCATCTCTCCGATGCTCCTCTGAGAAGGCTTGAGAGGACCCAGGGGTTACAGTGACAACCCACTCAAACCTTAGTGGTTTTTCCCTGTGGAAGTTTTGAAGATCAGAAAGCAAAATATCATCTCAATGTCTTGCAAAAAATGCTTTGGTTAAAGTATTTAAGGTTGTCCCTCCAGCCTTTACAAGAATCTCCATTTTGAACACCATTCTGTCTTTTGCAAGACTTTGATAGGAAGTATTTCTCTGTATATTCACATTGGAAGCAGGACAGCGAGATGGTGAAGAACCAGGGCTCTGTAGTGAGACAACCCAAGTCCCAAAGCTGGCAATTTAATTACCTTTTCAAAGCCCAAGTTTCCTCATCAAAAATATTAGGTTAATAATATACTCATCTCATAGGCATGTTATAATGATTAAAAAGGAGAAATTCTTATAATTGTCATAATGCTTAGCACATGATAAACCCCCTGGGAAATACTTTGTCAGAAAAGGAGATGCGTGTGACACAGCATATGTCCCTTTGTGCCTTTGCAGGTAAACTCAGGATTCAAATATTGTCATCAACTCATAACAAGTGGTTGGAAATATTTTCTCCCTCACTTCCACTTCTTTAGAATAACCCAGGAAGCTCCAGGGATTGTCTGTGTTCAAAGCTCTGGGAATAGTCCTGGATATCAGTATTTTTGAACTATTGCTCACTTAGTTCTAATGAATCCAGGTGTGAAGCTAATGGTTTAGGCCCTCCCTATTTTCTTTAAATCTAATTATTGAGTTTTATATTGTTCTACTTGATCAGCACTTTCACATTTTGGAGGAAATAGGAAGGAAGGTTATGAAACTCATGAAAAATGGATGGAGGGCTGGGATTGTGGCTCAGTGGCAGAGCACTTGCATCACATAAAAATAAACAAACAAAATAAAGATATTGAAAAAAAATGTTTTTAAATGGATGGAAGGATGGATGGATGGGTGGGTGACTATTGTATGCATTAGGATTATCACAATAAGAATAGCAGGTATAAGATGGTCATAAATGGCATTTCAAAGATATAATAAAAACAAACAGAAATAAAAATAAATTAATTATTGAGTCTGAAGAATGAAGGACAGTAATGAATAAATCTAAGTGACAAGTTTTCTAGTGTAGCTGCCTTAAGAGAATGGTAAGACCACTAACACAATCGAGGAAACTGAGAGTTAGTTGGTCTGTGCTTTCTGGTAACTCATAAAGAAACATACCAGGGCTGGGGCTGTAGCTCAGCTGGCAGAGCATTTGCCTTGCATGTGTGAGGCACTGGGTTAGATCCTCAGCACCACACAAAAATAAATAAATAAATAAAAGGTACTGTGATTGTCTACAACTAAAAAAAATATTTAAAAAAGAAAGAAAGAAAGAAAAAGAAAGAAAGAAACATACCAATCTGCTGGGTGTGGTGGCACATGCCTACAATCCTAGGCACTTGGGAGGCTGAGTCAGGAGGATCACAAGTCCAAGGCCAGTCTGGATGCCTTAGCCAAGCCCTGGCTTAAAAAGTAAAAAGGACTGAGGAGGCAACTGAGTGGTAAAGTGCCCAGGGGTTCAATCCCCTGTTACCACCCCACCCCCGCAAAAAAAAGAAAAGGAAAAGAAACACCTACCACATTTTAACAGCTGACTGAAGTCAATATGCAAATGAAATGAAAAACACTATTACTTCCCAGTTCAAATTGATCAGAGCCAAATGGACAGGGTCATTTCATTTACTTTGATATTTGTGACACTTGTCACACAAACAGGGTAGTGTCATTAGGCACTCTTGGACTAAGCTTATAGAAAATGTGGGAAATGTCAATTACATATCATATCAAAAAGAACAGAAAGTAATTATTCTCTGAAAGTCATAATAACTTCGGTTTCTACTACTGAATAAGAAATGACCCTAGCAAAGGTTTTGGTTCTAGCAACTGCCATTCTGTCTTCTCTAATGCAGCAATTACAG